GTCTGGACTCCCCAGGAGGCCCTCCCAGTGCCCCTCTGGACACACCTGGTCAGTGCTTTAGGTGTCTCGGAGTGAGGGGGCAACTCAGGAGGTTTGTTCTGAGGGTCAAGGGGACCATCCACATGACAATCCCCAGGCCAACCCACAGGACACTCAGTGCCTCTCTCAGGCACCGGATTCCAATCGCTGTAAAAGTCTTTCAAGCCAAGCAAGTCCCCACCCCACCCCACCCCCACCACTCTTTAAGACACAAAAGGTCTCAGGATGGACACCGTACATTTCCTTGTGTACAGGTGGCCTTACCTCTGCCACGCCAGCCCTGAGGGGTTGTCTGTGGGACAGACCACTGGGGCAGCGATCACTGCCTGGCTGGGATTGGGGCTCTGGACAGTGGGAGTGCTGAGTTCACCCCGCAGGTCCTGGGGGCACCCTCACGGGGTCTCTCAAGCCTTGTCCACCAAGTACTGACCCCCAGGGGTGGGTACACCTGTGGAGGGGGCCCCGCCTGGCCCATCTCTCAGCACCCTTTGTTCAGCTGGCCTCAGCACCCTGTCGGCAGGGGTGGCCACAAGAAGGCGGGTGGGAAGGAAGGGCAGACAGCATTTCCCCTGAGGCAACGTGGACCCCTGGGAAGGCTTCACTGGGGAGGACCACCGACCACCAGTCCCCGCAGAGCCAGCACCCGGGTCTCCCGGAGGTCATCCGGGACGTCTCCCTGCAGACCCAGAGGATGAGGACGGTGAAGGGCGTACCCGGTGCAGACAACACTGGGCAGAGTCAGCTCTGGGTTTGTGACTGTGCTGGGAAAGAGGGGTCGGGGCCAATGGATGCCCAAGGGGGTATCTAAGGAGGAAGGGACACGGCTCAGGCCAGGCCCCAGTCACCAGGACCAGTGACCCCAAAGACCCCCCCGAGCCTGGGGGCAGTGAGGAGAGAGCCCCCTGCTGATTTATGGTGGACAGGAATTAGGCCGCTGAGGACTTGCTGCCTCCCTCCTCCTCCTCTTTCTCCTCCTCTTTCTCCTCCTCCTCCTCCTCCTCCTCACTGAGGGTCAACTGGGGTAGGGTGGCTCTCAGCTGGTCTCCAGATGGGCCTGGCAGAGGAGCACCTGGGGGTGGAAAGCCAGACGCCCGGAGTAGAGAGGCCCGGCCGGCCCAGTTGCCTGCGTCTCTCTCTGGCCGTCTCTCCACCTCGAGGTCTGTCTCTGCCTCAGGCTCTGTCTCTGTCCAGTGCAGCCCCCTCCCCACGACCGCCCGGGTGGGTAGGGGTGGGAGCTGGTGATTTATCACCCACTGCCTGTCTTCCATCGGAAACGCCAGGGGTGGGCGCAGACTGAGCAGTGAGCTATGGGCCCCCAGGGCTCCACCACCCACCCCAATGTTGTTGCTCTGTCTGGTCGGCGGGTGCACCCCCCACCACCACCAGGACGTGGCCAGGGGTTCAGTCCCCCAGACCTTCCCAGGGCCTCCTCCCCGGGCCTCACTCAAGTCCCCGCCCAGTGAGTGGCCAGCCTCCTCCCCAGGCTCCCCCTGGCCTTCCCAGGCTGGAGGAGGACTTTGGAGGACCCCCGCACCCCTTCCCCCACCACCAGGTTGGTCGGGAAGTGGCGAGGTCTCTGTTCCATTCCTCTGGGGGTCCTGCTCCGGGACTCCTACCCGGCGGGCTTCCGAGACAGAAGGGGCTGAGGCCAGCCCCTCACTGTCGCCTCCTTACCCGCCTGGCAGCCTCTTTGCCCCACCCCCTCCTCGGTGCACACAGCAGGGGCTCAATAAGTGTTTTCGGAGGAAACAGGCGTCGGGAGGGCGGAGGGCACACCTGGGCTGACCACCCCTCTCTCCCCCGCGCGGGACCGGCGGAAGAGGTCCCTTATCTTCCCGGCTGATGGGCTGTCAGCAAGCTGGGGGCGCGGGGAGGGTAAGAGGAAAGGAGCAGCAGGGAGGGAAGGGGCGGAGGGGGCGCTCACCCTTCCCCGTCTATCAGCGGACCCCGGCCCATCCCTCTCCACTCCCATGGGATGTGCCACCTGCCCGCCCCTCTTGGCGATCCTCCGCCCGCCATCCTGAGTAAGTTCTCAGTCTCCTGGTCTCTGTTTCTCTCCTTGGATCCTGGCTGTCTGCACCCAGCGCCGACCTCGCCGCCCGCCCCCTGCGTTTCTGCAGACTGCGAGCGCCCTCTAGTGCCTGCTAGGGGTCTTGGCGCGTGAGGGGAGGACTGAAAGGGGACAGCACCCACCCATTTCAGGGATGAGAACACCGGAGGCTCCCAGCGTTAGGTAACGGCTGTGTCTGCCCCGGGACTGCCATTTGGCCTGTCGGGGGCTCACTCTATCCAACGCTTTGACCCGTCACTCACTAGCTGGCTGCATGCAAGCTTGGGATGTGGCTTGAACCCCTGGTGGACCTCAGGGGCACAGACCAGGACTCAGTGTCCTGCACTACGTGTCTGGCCAGGGCAGGGCCAGGAAACTCTCTGCAGAGGACATTCGTGAGTGGGACCTTGAATAGTGTGAACATAGTTACAGCAGGAAGGGACAAAGAAAGGTTCAGAGACTCTGGCCTAGTGGGGCAAGGCAGACCAAGGCTGGGCCTTGACGGAAGGCAGAGGGTGCTGGGAGCCCAGGGGGGCTGGAGGGACACAGGTGTGGTCAGAGCACCCTCGGGCTGCAGGGCAAGGAGCCCTGACTCAGCCAGCCTGGGGGCTGGAGCTGTGGGAAGGCTGGGCAGGGCCTTCGAGCGGACGCTCAGCTGTTCCTATCAGGAAGGAGTCACGCCACAGAAGGGACCAGCCTGTCCGTGGGAAGGGGGCCCTGGAACTGGTGTGTTTTCCATGAGATGGAGGACAACGCTGAGGGGCACGGTAAGCCCCCTGGTCTGGGGGGAGGGGTCTATTCTCCTCCTCCCCAAACAGGGCCATTCAGGGGCACTGAGTTGGGACCATTCATTCCCCACACTCCTCAGAGACTGAGGCCCCGGGATCAGTGCGTAAAGGGTCAGCTCAGGGTCAGAATTGGCAGCCTGGAGAAGGTCAGCCATTGAGGCCAGGCCAGTGTTCTCCTATGGTCAGTACCTTGGAAGGGGCAGGCGCAGGAGCAGGTCTACATCATGGAGAACTGGCAAGAGGGGAGGTGGCTCCTTAGGTCTGACCACGTGGCACCATCAGCCTCTTTCTTCCATCCTGCCCCTCAGTGCCCCACGCCCACCCTCTCATTTGGGCGCTGGCCCAGGAGCCCTGAAGCCTGTGGGCAGTGAGCAGTGGAGCTGGCCTCCTGCTGACCACTCCCCACAGCTCCTGCTGGGGCCTCATCCCACAGCCTGGGGAGCCTCTTTCTCTCAGCCGGGGTCACCTAGGGTTCCCAGGGCTGCTTTCTTCTGGGCTCTGCATTCATCCCCTTGAGAGCCTCAGTGAGAAGGAGGGGGGGTCCCAAGGGCTCTGGGCCCAGCAGGAGACACATCTTGGGATCTGGTTTCCTGTGGAAAGTCGGGGGGATGCCTCCTAACCACGTTGGGACTGAGGTTAGGAAGCTGCCTGTGTACCTTGCTGTGACAACAACCATCACCTCTGACCCCACCAAGAGGCTCTGGGGTACTGGGCCACCCCCAGGGAAGGCAGGGTGGCAGTTCATTTGTACAAAGGAGCCACTGTCTCCGATGTGGTGATAAGCCTGGAAGCACAGCCGGATGCCTCACACCTGCCTACAAAGGCAGGGGTGGCTCCTGCCCCACGTCCCACCAGTAGCCCCGAGATAGCATCAGCCACACCGGAGAGTCATCCATCTTGTCCTACAAAGGCCAGGACAAAGGCCGTGTCAGCGGCAGCCTCCCCAACCCGGTCAGTGGAGGTCTGGACCTTCCTGTGCCAGGCGACTGAGGCCGGGGCCCGAGGCTCCACCGGGGTCCACGGAGAGCAGCCCTCACTGTTCACAAGGCCAGCCAGGTAGAGGCCACAGCTGAGCAGAAGCAGCGACTCGTGAGCTGCTCTTCCGGGCACCCAGGGCCCCAGTAGCTGCCTGTGCTGCACTGAGACGCCACAGTGGAGTCCCTGGCCCTGAGTGACTTCAGGGACCGAGAAGCCCCGAGTTAGTCTGCGCCGTTGGGGGAACCTTCCTGCAGTGAGTGGTGGCAAGGGGAGGACGTGAGTCCAGAGACCCTGCAACCCCCGGTGCCCACTGACCCCTGCGGGGACCTCCCATGGACCCCACCTTGAATGTCTCAGACACCACCCCACCTGCCCTCCAGAGCTTCTCAGTAGAAGTCCAGGCTGTTCCAGGCGGGCCACCAGACTGTCCTCACCATCCCCTTCATCCTGACTCCTCTGATGGCTGCCACCAGGGAAACCTCACATACTGAACTGTCCTCAGAGCCACCTCATGGCCTCCCTGGCCCCGGAAACTGCCACCCAGAGCATCTTCTCTGCCCTGCAGTGTCCACCCTGCCCCATGCAGTCCTTGCTGTCCCCACTGTTCCCACCGTCTTCTCACTGCCCCACAAAGTCCTCAGTCCCCGCGGTGTTCTAGCTGTGCATATAGCGTCCTCACTGCCCCGGAGTCCTCAGCCAGTGTCCTCTCCATCCCAGAGTGTCCTTACTGTCCAGCGTCATCGTTTACAGTGTCCTCACTGTCCAAACTGTCCTCACGTGTCCCCAGTGCCTCGTGTCCCAACAGTGTTCTCACTCTCCAGTGTCCTTCTCACTGTGTCCTCCTTCCCCAGTCTCCTCACTGTCCGCAGTGTCCTCGCTGCCCCCAGGGTCCCGTTACACGTTGTCCAAACCCACCAGTGTCCCCGCCACTCCACAGGGTCCCTGCCCTCCAGCGTCCTCACCGCCCTGCAGCGCATCATTGCCCTTTGGGCTTTCCTTCCCACTTGAGCTTCTTCAAGAGTCAGTAGCTGGGAAAAGCTATCGGGGTGTATGAAGGTGTGAATGTCCCCTTGAATAGTCAGTTACTCAGAGCTATTTCTGTGGTTTGGGGGAGAGGGTTTCCAGGTCTTTGGTGTAAAAACTGGTCGGATTGGGGAAGGGTTTATTCTGCACTGGAGTTTGGCATGAAGGACTCCACAGGGTTTGGGCTGCAGTTGGTCCCCTGGATCTGCCTGCGCATTCGGGGCGTGGACTCCCTGGGATTAAGGGTGGGCTTTCAGCAACTGGCCCCTGTGGGCCAGGGCCTGCAGGGGGTGTTTGGCCTGGGAAATGGTGCCTGAGTGGAGGAGAATGGGTCCGGGTTAGGGCCAGGGCTCCTTCGGGCAGGGTCCTGTGGAGCTGGCAGGCTCGCCTTGCTCAGCGCCAGTCCTCTCCTCTCGGGTCTCCAGCTGGTCCTGCCACTAGCGGGGCGGTCAGCGACAGGCGGTGCGCGGCGCGAGCGCGCAGCCTCCGCAGGCGGCACAGCAGCAGCGCCAGCAGCAGCGCGTGCAGCAGCCCGAGGCCGAGCAGCACCAGCGGTGCCACCAGCGACGCCCTGCAGAGCACTCCAGGCGAGCAGGCGGCACGAAGCTCCTCCTCGGTCAGGTAGGACAGCACGCGGCCGAGCAGGGATGGTGGCGCGGCGCAGCGCAGATCGCGGTAGAGCTCCCGTTTCAGACGACTCGCCAGCCAGGCACGCAGTGGCACCAGGCGGCAGTCGCAGCGCCAGGGGTTGTCGCCCAGATGCGCCTTACGCAGCCTGGGCAGCGTGTCCAGCAGCCCCGGTGGTAGCGCGGTCAGGTTGTTACCCGTCAGCACCAGCTCCGTTGTGTCCGGTGGGAAAGCGGCGGGCAGCGAGGCCCACGTCAGCCCGCGGCGCCCGCAGTCCACCAGCGTCCCGGCGCAGCTACATGGTGCCGGACAGCCCGCGGCCGGGCGGCTAGGCTGCGTGAGCAGCAGGAGCAATAGGCTGAGCGCCCCGCGCGGCCCTAGAAAGGAAGCGCTGCGGTGAGCTGGGTGGCCTGCTGGGCACCTGTCTGGGCTCCCTCACCACCCCGAGCGCTGAGCCTGACTCCAGCGCCCGCTGGAGACCTACGTCACACTTTGCCCGCAAACCTCACCACCCCACCACCCCGGGCACTGGCTGGAAGTTCCCTCTAAGTCTGACCCAAATCTTTCCCTACTGAAGCCAAAACGATGGGAGCGCCTCCCAACCGACTGGGCTCAGGGAATGGCCTCGCCCAGCCACCAGACTTACCAGAGCCCATGGCGAGAGGATGGTGGCCCGCCTTGCTCTGGAGCTGGAAGCACTGCTCGGAGAACCCGATGATAAGGCTGCCCCGCCCCTGCCGGGCCGGCGCTCCCGGTACCAGGCCCACAGCACGGCGGGCCGTCCCGCCAGAAATAACCCCAAGGCTGCCCCAACAGGCGCTGCGGCCGCCGATAGAGCGCTATCACCAGGGCCAGCGCCCTGGCACTTCCGCCCCGCCCCCCCTGCTCCCAGGGGCACAAAGAGCACTCGGACACCCGCAGCAACGTTCACCAACATTGTTCTCCTGTCGCCAGGACAGGACGGCATTCACAACTTAACAAAACTGGAGGATGGGGCTTGCGAAAGGGTTCATGCGGGTGGAGGGAGTGGGGGGAGGGCTAGGGAGCCCAGGGCAACAGTGCTGCTGGGGAGAAGGGACCCCCAGCCACAGGCAGGGAACAGCAGTCTAGGCATGAGGATTGCAGAGGACAGCCCACAGCCCCCTGCTCCTGCAGCCCTCCGAGAGCTGCAGCTGTGGGGGAGGGGAGGGGGCTATCACAGGCCTCCCAGCCCCAGGCCACCCTCCCCTGCAGCTGGCTGGCCTCCTTAGGTCTGAAGAGATCCTAAGCGCTTCCACAGCCTCGCCTGCCTGCTGAGCTACAGGGTGAGAGAGGACCTGGCCCACATCCACATGAGGCGAGGTCTCAGTGTATGCTGGGAGGCCCACGGGAGCAGGGGAGCACAGCTCCCAAGTCTCTGCTGTGGCACTGGGGTGGGGGAATAGGTTGGAGACCCCAGGGATCTGCTCCCCTATTCTGCCTTGGTTTACCTGCCTGCCTGAGTAGGGCCTGGAGTCTGGGTGCTGTGACCTTCTGGGGTGGAGGGAAAAAATCTCAAAAGTCACAGCCAACCCTAGCTCCTGCTCCCCCAAAGCCAAAGGAGGGGGCGTGTTGCCCAGGCCCCATGGAAACAGATACAAATGAAGGGAAGGGCTGATGCTGAGAATAAATTAGGGATGTCTGGAGGCTGTGACCCCGTGCCTCCAGGTCAGGACGGGGACAGTCCAGGTCTAGGTCACTTGGGATTGGGGTTGCAACCAGGCCTGTTAGAGGTCCAGAGGAAAAGGGTCGAGTCCAGGCCAGTTGGGGTTCAGGGGTGAGAAGGGCCAGTCGGAAAACCGGCAGCATATCCACGGCACTGTGGAGCTGGGGCGGGGTCACTGGTCCTGCATTTGCTGCTTCATCTTCTGCAGCATCTCCTGCATGCGCCTTAACTGAGGAGTGGGCCAGGGAAACCGGAAGGCGGGGTGAGAAAGGAGCCGGGAGGGTGCTGGCTCAGTCTCCAGCCCCGAGCCCCCGCCACTCCCCAAGCCATGCCTCACCAACCTCCTCGTCCTTCATCCTAATAAGCTTCTCCGTCTCAGCGTCGGGGGTGGGCAGTGGCAGGATGGGGATGGGGCTCTCCATGCGGTTGTCCTGGGTCAGTTTGCTGCAGGGTGGACAAGAGGGACAGTGCTGGTAGGAGGTTCAGCCAACCTCGCCACTACCAAGGCTGCCCTTCTCAGTTCCCACACCTGTGGGCTGGTCTGGGGAGACAAGGTGCTGGGGAGCCAATCTGGGGGCTGGTGCAAGGTCCCGGTCTAGGTGGGCAGCCTGATGTGCCCGAGGCCTCGAGGTGCACATCCAGGTCTGGGGTGGGGTGACGCACCTGGTCATCTGCTGGATGCAGTGCGCGCGGTAGTTCTCATAGTGCACGTCACACGTCACGTCCTTGAGGTCGTGCATGTGCGTGCGGATGAGCATGTTGCGCAGCTTCACGAAGTCGCAGTGAGCCTGGTTCTCCACTGCGGGGCAGGAGTGGGCAGTGGGTGGCGCGCCAGCCCAGGGGAGCTTTCCCACTCACGGGCTGTGCCCTATGCCTGGACTCACCTTCCACAATCCCCCAGGGGTACAGCCGCCCCCGGACTCGCTGCCCCTTGGCCTCCACCACGGTGTTGCTGCCGATAACCGCGAAGGGAGCGCTTTCCTGGGAAGAGGCCAGTGCAGGGGCTCACGCCCAATTAATATGGGTGCAGGGTTAGTGGTTGGAGAGGAGCATGGGCACCCAGGGTCTGGTCAGCCCCTCCAGCATCACCATCAACGGCCTCTCCCCAAAGAGATCCTGGTGTCACCAGCCCCCCACCTTATGGCCTCTCTGCTGCTGGCTGAGGCCAGAATGGGTGCAGCTTACATCTTAAGGCCTCTGACCGAGCTTATGCCTCCTAGCAATGCCCCTGCTGACTTTGGTTGGAGTCAAGGGCCTGCCTGACCCTGTTCCTGGCCTCTTGACCCCCTGTCCCCAGCTTGGGCTCAGTCATAACCACTCTAACTGCTGGGGCACTCAAAGCCACTCCCACCTCTGTTGCACAGAATTCTGGGAGCCACTGCATACTCAGCCCCGTGGCCACTGGCTGGGCCCCTCTACTGGTGACTCATGAGAAGACTGAGGAGCAGGGTCAGGATGGTGCCTTGTTGGCAGCTGTGCCTTTAGCTCCTGGCAAGAGCTCCGTGACTCACTAACCATGAGGGACCCAAACATACGAGCCAGGCAGGAACTTGGGCAACCCTAGCCCTCTAGGGCGAGGTGAAAGGACTCTACTGTCCACACCAAAGACCCCTATCCACCCCCCAAGCTGGACCTGGGCACTTGGCCCACCTCTGCCCAATGGACCGCATGCTCACCTTCAGTTCCCGATCCTGCTGCTTGAAGTCCTCGTCCTCGTCTGAGTCACACTCGGGGAACTGGTACACATGGATCCCAAACTTGTCGATTTCCTCCCGGATCTGCAGTGGGACAGGGCTCTCAGATCAAGGGTTGGCAAGGTCCCCTGGGTCTGGTGCGGTGGTGCGCAGGTTCAGTGCACCCGGTGCCCTCAGCCCAAGTCCTGGGCCAGGCCCCACTGCCACACAGGCTCACCCGCTCCTTCAGCTTCCGGATCTCACTGGGGACCAGACAGTCAGCCTTGGCAATGAGGGGCACAATGTTCACCTTCTCGTGTAGGGCCTTCATGAAACCTACATCCACTGGCCGCAACCTGCAGGGAGCACCCAGGGTGATGAGGGGCTGGTGGGGTTGATGGTAGAGCCGGAAGAGGGTGGGGGGCGCTCAGGGAGGGGATGGCTATGGGGTCTCGGCCCACAGAGTCACGCACCCGTGCCCGAATGGAGAGATAAAGTACAGGCAGCAATGCACCCGGTTGTCTTGGATGTTCTTGCGGTTGAGGCCACTCTCGTCCCGGAAATACTGCTCAAACTGCTGGTCCACGTAGTCGGTAATGGGCTTCCAGCTGCAGGCAGGAGGTGCATGAGGCTGGGCTGCGAGGGCAGCACACTGGCACCAGGGGAGACGGAGTCAGCCCGGGCAGGGACTGCTCCCTGGCCAGGCCTTCCTCACCATTCAGAGTTGTTCACGGCATCCCCAAAGCCCGGCGTGTCCACAATGGTGAGCTTTAGCTTGACGCCCTTCTCCTCAATGTCCACAGTGTGCTTCAGGATCTCCACCGTCTGGCTGATGCGCTCTGCAGGGAAGAACACATGGCTTGAAGGGACGTCTCTCACCCCTGACCCCCTACATCGAGTAGCCAGGATCCTTTCTCCTCCGTCTTAGTGTTTTGGCCCTGATCACAAGGCCTGACTGTGGTTTGGGCCACGCCTCCTGGACCCCCAGACAGAAGACTCATGTTGTGGGGAGAGAGAAGGGGCGCTGGATTCGGAAGGGTACCCTTTGAGGGGTCACACAGGAGGGGATGGTGAACCAGTGCCAGGGAAGCTTGGGGTCCACTTACCCTCAGCACTGAGTAGCTTCCGGTCCTTGTACAGGTCTGTTAGGAAGAGGCTGTGGACCAGCGTGGACTTCCCCAGGCCCGACTCACCTGCCCACAGGTACAGCGAAGGAGTCAGATTAGGTCTCAGGCCCCCACAGCAGAGCCTGGCCAGCCAGTGGCCCCAGCCACCCCGCCTGGGAGCCTGGCCCACTCACCAGCCACCATGAGCGTGAAATCAAAGCCCTTCTTCACTGACTTCCGGTGCACCTGGTTGGGCAGTGTGGCAAAGCCCACGTACTGCTTGTCGATATCCTGCGGGCGGGGATGGAGCAGGTCAGAGGTACCCTGGGGCTCCTAGGCAGCCCCATGCTCTGTCTTGTACCAGCTCAGGCAAGGAGGCAGCAGAAGACAGAGTCCCCAGGGTGGGCATTTCAATGGCAGAAAGGGGGCGAAGGCCTGGAGGCGGGAAGGCAGGTCAGAGGGTGGCTGGTGAATGCACCCTTGCCCTGGCTTCAGAGAGGGGCTTTGGCGGGCCTCAGGACGATGCCTGTGTGTGTTCGCCCCCGCGTGTAGGGGGACACGTCTGGCTGCAGCGGACACAGGCAGGGTCCTCCCTTGAGTGGTGGACAAAAGGCACCAAAACCAAGGCCCTTCGGACATGCCCCAGGTCCTTCATAGGAAGGAGAAACCCAAACTCAATAATCACCCCTCCCAAGTGTACCCGGGGGCGGGAGGCCCCCCGTGGCCCAGATCCAGCCGCGGGGGTGGCTGGCTGCAGCAACGACGGAGCAGGGGCTATTTATAGATAGCGGCGCCGAGCCACCCCCGCTGGCGGGTCCTGAGCCCACCCTCTGTGGGCCCTGGCACTGCGGGCCCCCGTCACATCCCAGAGCCCTGGGACCTGGCCCCAGCAGACGCGCACACACTGACCCACATTCCACTCCCCTCTCCACACACACCTTGAGCCGCCTTTGGGCCTGAGTCCGCGGCGACAGCAGCTGCTCCACCAGGCGGTCCTGGGGCGCCGCCAGAGAGTCCATAGCAGCGAACCCCCCACACACACCCTGCTGACGACTTGGGACCCCAGACCAGGTCAGGCCGACAGGGGCCCAGCGCTCTCGAGGGGCTCAAACGCTGAAGTGCCTCGAAGCCCTGTTCTCGTTCCCGTTTTAGGGACACGGGAAGTGAGCCCGGGAGGCCGGACGTGGCCCACCCGGGGTGCCGCCGACCTCGGAGGCCGCGGGAGCCATCCTCCTGCCTCTGAGGACCCGGACCCGCCCCAGACGCGCGGCGTCGCAGCCACAGCCGGCCCCGATCCGCACGCGAACCAGAGGCGGGGCTCCGCGCCGAGACCGCCCCGCTCGCCGTCGCCGGGAAACG